TGGGAATTGTTATTTGCCGGCGAGTCACCACCAACTTATGGCAAGGCTGTGAATTAGTGCTCTGCAAAATGTCCTGGCCTCAACTGCCCTGATCCAGCACTCTCTTGCTTCATTTTGGACTGTCTCATTATAGGGTTTTCATGGTATGGAAAGTTCAGCAGGGATATCCCGTTGCCTTCTTTTGAGCAGTACTAACGAAAGTTAAAACCTGTCAAATGCCAGAAAACTAGCTTCTGGGACGTTACATGCTAAGCATCTTTAAAGATTTTTTTAAAAAAAAATAACATAAAAAATCATGAAGCATTTTGTGGGTGTTACATGCTAAGCATCTTTAAAGTGTTTTTTTTTTAATTAACATAAAAAATCATGAAGCATTTTGTGGCTTATTTGCACATTTTATTTTACTCCAAACACAGAACATTTTGATAATTTGCTTTGTTTTGCTCTGATAGTAACATTTTAGTTTCAATTTGTAGATATTTGTTTGTGTGAAGAGATGGCTAGACAAATATACATTACAGGATAGTACTGTATTATCTTTCTCTGACTGGAGTGACTTCCAAAAATAGCAAACCGACACATCATGTTTCAGTTTTCTGAAGTTCTACTCCCAGCATTTATGTTCACAACTCCAAAGACATTTTCTTGCCTGTCTCTATATGTGTGAAATCAGAATGTGAAATATGGCCTTTTCTAAAGGTTTGGTAAACTGCTTAAGCAGAGCCTCCAGAGACATAAGAAACAACACAATGCCAGTTGCAATATAAATTACCAATTAGACAAGCTGCCAAAGGCCTCTTTTGTTAGAACAGAATGTGAGCTAGTGATAGTTAAAAGGTTAGCTTAAGGGTGGAATTGCCAACTGATTGTATAAAATTAGGCTTAACTTTCTGTTCCTATGTGGAGAAAAGCTCAGTGTCATTCTGTAAAAGGTTAGGCCTTGTTTTCAATATGAATTGTATTGCTAACACAAGATCAGGTGATGCAAAAAAGTGTTTTCCAATATTAACACAGAACAGTATCAGTGCTATAGCTCATAATCCATAAAAATAAGTCATTGTAAAAATCTGTAACCCAACTCAACGAGCATGACTCAAAGGCAAACTGTTCAGAAATTGTTTCATTTAAAAAAACAGTCCAATTTGTATGTATATGTAGTACCAGTTTCAACTGGATCTTACCTGTTTGGGGTGCCAGATGTGTAAGTTTTTATAGAAATTTCCATGAAAAACAGAAATCGTCGTCATTTGGGATGCCAGATGTGTAAGTTTTTATAGAAACTGACAAATTTCCATGAAAAACAGAAATCGTCGTCGTCGTTTAGTCGTGTCTGACTCTTCGTGACCCCATGGACCAGAGCACGCCAGGCCCTCCTATGTTCCACTGCCTCCCGGAGTTGTGTCAAATTCATTCTGGTAGCTTTGATGACATTGTCCAACCTTCTCATCCTCTGTCGTCCCCTTCT